CGGCCGCCCCGAGGGCAAGGCCGCCGAGGACTCCCGCATCCGCCGGCCCATGAACGCCTTCATGGTCTGGGCGAAGGATGAGCGCAAGCGGCTGGCGCAGCAGAACCCCGACCTGCACAACGCCGTGCTCAGCAAGATGCTGGGTGAGCGGGAGGGGAGCGGGAGGAGGGCTGGGGGCTCGGGGATGCGGGTGCGGGGCTGGGGATGCGGGAGTATGGAGATAGGGATGCGGGGATGCTGGGGATGCGGGCTGCAAGAGTACAGGGCTGCGGGACGCAGGCTTACAGAGCTAGGGACATGGGGATGCGGGGCTGGGGATCCAGGCTGCAAGAGTACAGGGCTGTGGGATGGGGAGGATATCGAGCTGAGGAGACAGGGATGTGGGAGTACAGGGCTGGGAATACAGGAATACAGAGCTACAGGTCTGGGGATGTGGGCTGCAAGAGTGCAGGGCTGCAGGATGCAGTGGTACAGGGCTCAGGAGGTGGGGGTACAGGGCTGGGGGTGTTGGAATAGTTTGGTTTGGTTCTGATAGTCCAAGGCAGTGGGATGCAGGGATACAGAGCTGGAGATGCGAACTGCTGGGGGACAGGGATTTGGGATGTGCACTGTGAGTGTCCAGGACTGTGGGATGCAGACTGCACAGATACAAGGCAGCGAGCTGTAGAATGCAGGGATATGGGGCTCTGCTAGCCAGACTCCAAGGGTGCAGGACTGTGGGATGCAGAGTGCAAGAATATGAGGGTGCAGGGACTGGGGTACGAGGATGGGGTGCAGTGGGATACAGAGCTGGGGAGTGCAGGGCTATGGGCTGCACAGTTAAAGAGCTGTGGGACACAAGCTTTAGGGATTTGGGATGCAGGGCTACCAGTTGCAGGTTACAGGGATGCGAGCTGTAAGGATGCAGGACTGGATCAAGGGCTGTGGGATGTGGTGTTACAGGATGTGGGAATATGGGGCTGTGGGATATGAGGATGTGAAGATACAAGATACTTGTACACAAGATGCAGGGAAACAGGGCTGCAGGATGCAGAGATACAGGGCTGAGGGGTACACAGCTGCAGGGATGCAGGATATGGGAATACAGGCTGCAGGATGCGGGATGCACAACCATAGGATGCGGGATGTGGGAACACGGGAAGCAGGATATGGGTAAATGGAGCTGCAGGATGCGGGACTACGGGAAGCAGGATATGGGCAGACAGAGCAGCAGGATGCAGAGACACGGGGCTGCGGGGTGTGGGGATGTGGGATTCAGGATATGGTGCTGTGAGTTTTTGGGATGGGTGATTTGGTCTGCAGAGGTGCAGGCTATGGATGTGAAATGCAGGGAAGCAGGATGTGGACTGTACCAAGGGGCAGTGGGAGGCAGAATCCCCAGCCCTGGCAGAGGGGTTCCCATTCCACGTACCCCCATTCTCCCACCACTGAAGTGCTGAGCACTGCCCGAGCCTTCTTCTGAGACAAGGCTTGGGAACCCATTCCCCAACCTTTCCTGGTGCCAGCAGTGAGACCCTGATCAGGTGTCAAGCCATCTGCAGGAGCCCTTCATCCCTGGGCTGCCTCTTCCTGCGTGTCCCCATGTCCTGGCCAGTGCCGGGTGGCTGAGCCACTCTCACAGAGCTTCTCTTTCCTCTTCCAGGCCAATCGTGGAAAGCGCTGAGCGCCAGCGACAAGCGTCCCTTCGTGGAAGAGGCAGAGCGACTGCGAATCCAGCATCTCCAGGATCACCCCAACTACAAATACCGCCCAAGGAGAAAGAAGCAAGCCAAGAAAATCAAGAGGATGGAACCCAATATCCTCCTGCATAACCTTTCCCAGCCTTGCAGTGACAACTTCAGCATGAGTCACCATGGCGGCAGCCAGCCGGGCCACCCCCAGCCTCCCCCACTTAACCACTTCAGAGAACTCCACTCCATGGGGTCGGATATTGAAAACTATGGCTTGCCAACTCCTGAGATGTCTCCCTTGGATGTCTTGGAACAGACCGAGCCGGCGTTTTTCCCTCCGCACATGCAGGATGACTGCAACATGATGCCCTTTCGCGGCTACCACCACCATCACCAGATGGAGTTTCCCCAGGAGAAGTGCATGGGGCGGGACGTGGCCGTGCCCTACACGCAGACCCCCTCACACTTGGCCGACGCCATGAGGACTCCCCATCCCTCCAGCCTTTACTACAACCAGATGTGCTCGGGAACTCAGAACGGGCTTTCAGCCCACCTGGGCCAGCTGTCGCCCCCGCCTGAAGCCCACCACATGGAGAGCGTGGATCACTTGAACCAAACCGAGCTCTGGACAGATGTTGACCGCAACGAGTTTGACCAGTATTTGAACATGAGCAGGACTCGTCCCGAAGCCTCGGGCCTCCCTTACCATGTCTCCCTGTCCAAAGTGACTCCTAGAAGCATCTCCTGCGAGGAGAGCAGTTTGATATCCGCCCTGTCCGATGCCAGCAGTGCTGTTTACTATAGCCCCTGCATCACCGGTTAAGTTGATCCCACCATCCAATGCGCGCACCAGGAGAGCCCCGACTCTCCTCTAAAAACAAAAAGCCATCCTCCTTTAACCACGAGCTCCATCATATTTAGAGTATCTCATTAAATGCATCGCTTTCTTGTTTGTTCTTTTTTATTTTGATTTTTTTTTTAATTTTTTTTAGAGACAGACCATGCTGAACTCACTGATATACCGTATAACTATATAACACAGATAGACGCCTTTCCCCGCCGTGCTCCCCGCTCCAGCCCTCGGCAGGGCACATCTCCAGCTCCCACCAGCTCCAAGGGGCATTTTCAAGCCATTTCCAGTAAATCCTGCCTGAAACAATGACACCAGGATGAGCCAAAGTGTGACCTGTCCCCAGTATTTTACCCAAGGACAGGCAAACTTTTAGGGGGAAAAAGCTTTTAGAAAGACTTTGCCGGGGCTGTTAAAGAGTCGGCGCCCATTAGGGGTGGGCTTTAGGACAGTTTTTACTGTATTCTCAGCAATATATTTTAATTGGGCAACAAAACTATATTTTTACTAAGCATTTTTATATATAAAATGGTATTTAATGTCTTTTGGGGTTTTTTTATTAGACTTTTTAAAAAGAAATCAAGGGATATCCATGAGATCTAAAGCATTTATGTAGCAAAGCTGGATTTAAAGAAAAAAAACGGAAGGGGGGAAAAAAGGAGATATTTTGTGAAAAGGGAATGATAATGTAAATATTGAGGAACAACTGACTGGAATTTTGTACAAAAGAAAAATATGACTGCAAACACTTTTATTGTCTAGAACTGTATGGAGAGCAAACTGTTTTATTCTGGTTAATTATTAAAACATCTTCATATAATTGTTCCCATCTTGTGTGCTTGTTGTGTGAACACATATTTTCCGCAAATACATGTTGTCCCAACCATTTCCAGATTTTTGTATCCGTTGATTAATGTTTTGACAACCTGGCAAATGTATTAATTTCCAAGCTGCTGCCCGCCCGCCCCGTCAGCCGCCTCGGGCTCCGCGAGCACGGCTCTGCCCGGCTCAGCACGGGATGGTGGCTTGGGATGGGATAGGATGGGATGGGATTCTGGCAGCAGCCCCACAGCACCGTGCCGTGCCACCCAGAGATGCTCCCAGCAGTAAAAGCAGCTGTTCTCAGATTAAAATATAATAAAACATGTGATATCCTCCTCCAAATCGAGCCTTGGTGTGGTCATTGTTCTGGCAGGCTGGCAGCGCATCAATACGTGGTCCCCATGGCTCACCCTGTTTTCCCATGAAACCCCCCAAAAATATAGCCAGGCTGCTCCAATGCTTTCTCTCCAGTCCTCGGAGATGGAAGAAAACTCCTTGTACCAGAGCCTTTCTTCCTCCTGGCCTTCACTGGCTGCTTCCTGGCTCCAGCAGCGGCGGTCTTGCCGAGCCGTCACCATGCCCAGCCGGATCCTGCTCGGAGCTGCTGGTGCTTTGCCGGAGCTTCATCCCCCTCCTGTGAATCACTGTATGATTTACAGGGAGCTTTTTTGTTCAGTTTGAAAAGGAGGAACAACAATCTGTTACTTAAAACCCGGTGGCATCCGTTCCTTGAGCACCAAGTGATTTAAACCAGGCTGATATCGCCAAAAAAGGCTGTTTAAAAAAAATAATTTGAAAAAATTGAATAGAAGAAGAGGTTTTTTTGTTGTTGTTGTTGGCAAAGAATTGCCTTTTAGGGGAAATGGATATTTAACAAATGACATTAATTTTCAAGCTTCTCCTAAATTAAATTCACATTAGTGTTAACAGGACTCAATCCTGACTCACTTTTTTTTGTTGTTGTTGAATGTGAAGCGCTAATAAACGGGACCACTCCGGGGGCTGGCGACGCGTTCCCATGGAACGCCACAAAGGCGCTTCATTGTCTTTCCATATACAGTATGTAAAAAGGGGGAATACATGGAAAAATGACCTCACTACCTACACGGGAGGGCTGGCGGGCGCCCGGCGGGTGCCAGAACCCGCGCTGCAGCAAACAAACACAACACCAAATGAGAAGCATCCTGTGCCGCCGCCGATGACTATGAAAGGAAGCAGCCGGCTATGGGCTCCATCCCGCTCCGCTCCCCAAAGCGGCCTGGGAGGAAGGAGATGAGGGAGGGGGGAGAAGAAGAAAGCCCTGAGTTATTTTCCAGCCCCCAGCTTCCAGGTACCTTCCAGGCATGGATGCGGTCACTTCCTGCGGTTCAAAGCAGCGGTGAGCAGGCCGGTCCTCGCCCAGCTGCCCCTCCATGCCAGGCAGAGCCGCTGTCCATCACATCGTGGAAACATGAAGTCACTTTTCTGCAGCAGAAATTCCCTTTTTTCCCCATGGTTCAGACTGTGCCAGCTCACTGTGGTTTTTGAATTGAAGGAGGAAGGTCAATCTAGATTAGATATGAGAAGTCTTTAGAATGAGGGTGGTGATGCACTGGCACAGGTTTCTGGAGAAGCTGCAGATGCCCTGTTCCTGGAAGTGTCCAAGGCCAGGTTGGATTGGGCTTGGAGCAACCTGGTCTAATGGAAAGTGTCCCTGCCCATGGCAAATGGTTAGCACTGGATGACTCTTAAGGTCCTTTCCATCCCAAACCACACTTTGGTTTATGCCCCAGAAAGCTGCTGTGGGGCTACAGCAGGTACTGAAAGCTGAAATGGATGCTCATTCCCATCCATAACTGCACCACCTTAAAGACACAACCACTGTGAAAGCCCCAGCTTGCTGGCCAGCCCTACCCCAGGTCTCAGGGAAACAAAAGAGAAGGGAAAGGAGAGAGGAAAAAAAAACCAGAGTAGATATCAGCAGGCAGAAAGACCTGTGCCAGGCTCCAAAAGATGCCACCTCCTACTATCCCTTGGTGTTCCACACAGCCCTTTTCACCCAAACTCACTGTTTTGACATCAGTTTTATCAAGAAGTGTCCCAAACCAACCTGGTTTGTGCTGGTTCCTTGATGAGATTTAACCACACCACTTCTTTTACATAATATTTTCATAATTTTAAATCTTGTTTCATATCTTATATATACATTCTATATTAATCTGTATTTTTATACACTAGAATTTATTTTTATATTTATATATATTTGTATATTTATATATACATGTATCTATATATGTATGTATATACCTATATGTATACATATGTATTTATATATATATATATTTATATTTGTATATTTAATATACAAAATATATTTTGTATATATTTATGTTCAATATTGTATATGTTACATATATATATATATATATATATATATTATTTTAATCTTTCCCCTCCCTCTGTCCCTGTACAGCTGCTCGGGGGCCAGGAAATCATCTCCCAGTGTTTTCTTTCACTGCATGCCGGTGGCTCAGGTGTGACGTGGGACTGGAAATGGCTGGAGCTGACATAGTTTGGGGATGATTTCACTGCCGTTATGGCTCAGGCTGGGGCTGTTACTGCACAGCCCCTTCCGATTTTTATGACTTAATCTCTCCAAAGCTCAAGGCCGGATGGTTTTGGGCCTGGGAGGAGGAGCAAGGGGCTTTTAGCAGGTCGTTACTTCAGAAATATGGAGAAGGTACTTGACAGGTAAATGGAAAACCTGACAGGCCATCCTGCCGGCTTTCCCAGGATGCAGGGAGAGGGAGAGGTGATGCCAGGAACTACCTGGGCTTTAAGGGCAGGTGGCATCTGCTCTGTGTCCCCTGGGGGTGCGGGGCAGTGGATTCTACCCATGTGTGACTGTGTGTGTGCGCCCCAACACATCCATGTGCAAACCTGTATGTGCGCAAGCACTGGTGTGATCAGCGTGTGCAAGCACCCGTGTGTACCTGCAGCACTGCATGCATCCATGTTCACACCCATCCCTGTGTGCATTATCCATGTGTGCAGGCATCTGTGTGTGTGTGTGTGTGCATCCCTGGATATCCGTGTGCCTGCATCTGGGTGGGCTGTGTGTGTGCATGCGTGTAGCCATGCGTGTGCACCTCTGCACAGGAGTGTGCTGCTCTTTTTTGTGCATCTTTTTTGTTGTCCCTCTGTGTGTCTGAGCCTGCGCACGCATCCATGTGTCGCTCTGTGTGTATCCATGCGTGCATCCCTCTGTGGATATGTCTGTGCACACACATGGAGGTGCATCTGTGTGTGTGCATCTCCATGTATGCACCCCTCTGTGTGCACGTGTGTTTGTCCATGTCCATATCCATGGATATCCATGGCTATCCATATGCACAACCCATGTGTGTGTGTGTGTGTTTGTCCATGTCCATATCCATGGATATCCATGGCTATCCATGTGCACAACCCATGTGTGTGTGTGTGTTCTGCTGGAGGTTCACAGATCAGCTTTATAGACGTTCTGGATTTTTTACAGCGTTACGGAGCGCTCGATGACATCACCCATCCAAATATTAAAACCTCATGTGCCTGCCAGCCTGGCCCGGCAGCGTTCGGCTCCAGGCTCGCTGTTCCCACTGCCGAGGCCGTGGCACATCCAGGGGCAAGCGGGATGAGCAAGGTGGCAAGAGGCAGCTCCAGGGCAGCACCAGCCATCCCAGCCCAGAGCTCACTGTCAGGGTGGGAACACTGACACAACAACCTTGATGAAGTCATCCTGGCTGGGATGAACAGGGAATTATAACCTCTTGATCCCTGTATTTTGGGTGTTTGGCATGGGGGCATCTCTGGGTGAAGGAACAAGCTGCCGGTGCTGGTTCCCCACTGTGGCACCAGGCAGCTGCTCTAGACCAAAGTGGTGGAATTTATATTTTTCCCTCTCTTCCAGAAAAGAAAACAAAAAAAATCACCCAAATCTGTTTGTGGGAAACAGCTCCAAAACATTTCCTGACTCGAGAAAAAGTGCATTGGAAAAAAAAAAACTTTCCAGGTTTTTTTTTTAGACAGGAGGCAAAACCTTTGGAGAGGTAATGGCATTCTGTGGTGGGAGGTTAACCAAAGGGAAAAGGTTGAAATGCAAAGCAAGGTTTCAAAAGTTCCCAGAACAACTTTTCCTGGTCAAGCAGAAGCAAAGTTCTCAAGCCTTCCCTAACTTTCTTCTCTGCAGCTCAGTTTGGGAAAGGAAATGTTTGGAAATCTCAGTTCTCCTTGCAGACAGGAAAGGCCCCGTTTCCTCTGCGCCATGCCCAGAGCTGCTGGGCAGCAGGAACACTTGGGTGAGGCTGGGTGCCCCCCCAGCTCTGCTCCTGGCAGCAGGAATCCTCTGCAGGCAGGGGAGGGCAGCTGCCTGCAGGGAACAGGAGCTGGGGTGTCATAAACATTACAGGTTTTGCAAAAGAAAAGAAAAGCCAACAAGGAGTGCTTAATGTGCCCTGGGAAATCTGTGCAGCCTGAAATGCTTTAGCACTTTTCTTGCTGTGAAATTCAGCCTCTACATCCCTTGTGGAGCTTTGGTTGTCCCTCCACAGCTCCCAGCGTTGCCCCCACCAGTCCTCACATTCCTTCCCCTGCCTTAGAACCACCACAAGCCCCTGGACCCCCAGTCCCCAGCCCCACACCAACATCTGCTCACCCAGCACTATGCTGGGGTCCCCATAAGGAGGATAGGTCCCTGTGAAGGAGGTAGGTTTAGGCTTCATTGTGTGAACCATGAGGGATTTTGGGGGCTCCTTCTCCTCACTGGCTCTGAGCTGACTGAGCCCCACAACATCTGTCAGAACCACTTTGTCCTTCTCTTCTGAGGTGATTCAGCAATGCTGTGGTGTACCAGGAGGCCAAAGGGTCATGGAAGGGTTGGGACTGTTCTCCAGAAGTCACCTACTCCAATCCAACACAACCCAACACAGCCCACACAGCACGACCTAACCCAACCCACCCAGTGCACCTAAAGCAACCCAACCCAACCCAGCTCAGCACAACCCAGCATAACCCAACCCAACCCAAACCAACCCAACCCAAACCAACCCAACCCAACCCAGCCCAGCACAACCCAGCATAACCCAACCCAAACCAACCCAACCAAACTAACCCACCCCACTCAATCCAATGTAACCTATCTCAAGGACCCAGTCAACCTGTCCCAACATAACCCAACACAACCCAACCAGCCTAACTCAGCTTCCTATGCAAGTCCTAAAGCAAGTCTCCCCATTGCCTCCCTCGCAGCCAAGCTCAACCCTTCCGGGATGTTGCAGTGGTTTTGGTGGAAGCCTCTCCCTCCTCCTGTGCTCGGCAGCCCAGGGAGGTTGATCCCTTCAGGGAACTGAATCACGTCCCCCCCACCGTCGTGGGAGCGTCACAGAGCGTCTGAAGCTCGTCAGGAGAGTCAGGCCAGGCCGCGCGGGGCCGTTCTGGGAAGCCATCCAGCCATCCGCTGGAGAGAGGAGTCTGCCTAAAAATGCCTCTGCTGGCTCCTCTCCACACTCCGACCGTCCCATATGGAACAAATGTACATTTTCCATCAATTGTTTGTATTTTGCATTTAAAGAAAGAAGGGGGAGGGAAAAAAAAGCCAGCAAGCAAGCGGGCTATACATATACGCGAAGCGTCGGTGACAGCAGATAGGCCCCATCGCGGAGAGGGAGAAACACTGGCCAGCGTTCAAGAGACTCAAACGTATGGTATGAAACAATAAATTTTAAGTGTGTTTTGACATATTTGGTGGTCTCTGCCTCATGCTTAATGAGCATTGGTCCACGTTGCGGGGGAACTGCGCAGCTCGGGTGGTTGGCAGGCTGTGCTGGCCGGGGGGTCGGTGGCCGGTGAGGCCGGAGGCAGGCATTGAGGTGGTCCTGGCATGTGTGTCCCAAGGGAATGGGGCACAGGGATGTGACACCATGGACTGCGCTGGCACGCTCAGAGGAAGGGATGCTGTAGGTAGCACAGTGCCTCTGGGGGACGAGCGGCGATGCCAAATTGCAGGAATAAGCATCAAGAGGTAGAATTGGGTAAAATTTGTTCAGGAGGGGACACATAACGTGGTGGTGATGTCCCAGGGCAGCATCCCTCACCTCTGCATGACTTGGGCAACCTGTGCTCCCATCTCCAGGCTGGGTCCCAGGCAGGCAGGAAGACGGTGAGCTCTCACATCCCATCAGCACGGGGACAAAGCCCGAAGGGATGGGCAAAGCGGCAGGACAAGGGAGTGCAGCCCTCCCGCATCCCCCGCCTCTGTGCCAGGCTGCCCGGCCCCCCCGTCTGACAGGGCTTGATCAGAAAGATGGACATGAAAGTGGAGCTTGGCTCTGGTTTCTCTCTCATTCAGAACATTCAAAAACTATTAACTGTGGTGGGGGTAAGCAGGCAGCTGGTTTTAATATCGTACTCTTCCAATTGTGTTGGGTTTTTTTTTTCCTTGCTTTTCGCGAGCACTTTAAGTGACATGGTTACATGTATTTGATTAAAAAGCTGTAATTCAACGAGTGCATTTTCTTGTACTGTACAAAACGGCTTAAAGACACAGGATTTATTTACGGTGGTCCCCCAGTTTTCCAGCTCTGCCAAAAGACAAGATGACAGGGAATTCACAGGAGGGAGGACGGATAGCAGCAGAAGGGGACATGCAATATCTCCTGGCTTTCCCAGTGCGGGGAACACAACTGGATCATTTCCTCTGCTGTAAGGTCAGCCCACTGCCACCAGCCTGGTCCTTGGGGCCATCCACTGGTCCCAAAAGCATAAATTCCTTTTGGTGTCCCCAGGACTGGTTCTCAGCTTACAGGAGCTGGCAGAGGGCACAGCTAGGAGGGGACAGCTAGATTTGTCCAAACTGGCCCCCATCCTGCCTGCAGCAAGATGCTGCAGGACACAACTGGAGGCAGGAGGGGGAGATTTTTTTCCAACCATGCCCATCCCCTGCCCATGCAGAGATGTTGCCAGCACTGAGGAGCTCGTCCCAATCCAGCAGCTCTATTTCCTAAGGAGGAAAAAGCCTTTATGAGATCCCAGCAAGGAGCCATGGCCTGATGCTGCCGAGAACCCTGGATCATCTCCCGTTAACCCAAACATCTCCCATGGCACAGCCACAGACTGGAGCCATGCTCACCCACACCTTTTTGGCTTCTCTGCTTCCAAAGTGATGAATTTCAAGCCAAAAAGGCAGGAGACGATTAAAGAGCATGAGACTGCTCTGCAACCCTTCAAGCACCAATATTACAATATCCCCCCACTCTGCCAGCCACAAGGGGCTGTGGCATGGTCCCCGAACTCCAGCAGATCCCTGGGCTTTTTGCATTCCTCTGGCCGGGAAAGGAGGCGTGTGCCTGTGTGTGTGTGTGCAACGCTGACCCCACAAACCCACTCCACCCAGCACAGCTTCACCGTTCTCACCCAGATGTACAATAAAAATTGGTAATAAAAATAAACCCAGCAACGCTTGCACCTCACCTGCCTCAAAGTCCCTGATGTGCAGCCCCAGGGACATGGACACGGATCCCAGCACCACTCAGGACCACCCTGGGAAATCCCGGCCTCCCCCATCCCTGCCTGGGGGGCCGGAGCCTGCCTGGCTGCTGGCCATGCCGAGCCGAGCCGTGTCTCTTCCTCAGCTCGCTCCTGCCCAGGGATCACCTGCAGTTCAGTTGATTTATGAACGGAGAATTTTTCGAGCTCTGTTTCCTTTTCATTGTTGTTTCAGTTGCTGCGCTCGCTTCCGCCCGCCTTTGAATAACTCCTGCCACGCTGCGAGCGGTGAGAAACGCAGCGAGTAAACACTCACACTCACACAGGACCGGGGGACAGGAGCCCCAAAAATGGGGGGACACTCTGGCTGGTCCTACCTGTGGCAGGAGGTCGCTGAGCTCCAAGCGAGCAGAGCTCCGGAATGGATCCTCTTTGTCTCAGAGCTGCAGTTTGGGATGGGGTAGCCACATCCTGACCTCCTGCCCCGTGACACAGCTCCTAGGAGGTGGCAGTCCCGTGGGGATGCTGCTCTCCCGTACTGTGGCTGGGGAGAAGAAGGTTGTGGTGGGTGGTTTGACTGAAGGGACCCTAAAATGTGATTTTCGGCGGGGTGACCCACTGCCCCATAGAGGGCAGGGTCCCCCCGCCCAGGGCTGTGCTCCACCCGGCTTCACTCCCGTCCTCATGCCCAGCTGGAGCAGGGGCTCCCACTGCGGCACAGAGACGATGCTCTCTAGGGAGCTTGGGTTGATTTACAGAAAAGCCCTTGAAAGAAAGAAAGAAAGAGGAAAAAAAAAAAAAAAAAAGCAATCAGGAAAGGAAAGAAACCCCAACCGCAATCTCAGCTCAACCCAGGACCCACATCCCCGCCGCTGCCACCTGCCATCCGCCTTCCCCCTCCCTCGCAGCCCCATCCCGGGCCACCGAGGAGCCCCCATCCCGGGCGATGGGCAGCTGCCCGTGCCGACCTGCGCCCATTGTCCTG